GACAATTATATCTGACCCCACCAAAAAATGTCCAGAAGTTGATGTAAACATCAGAATGGTTAAGCCAACTATTTAGATAACATAACATAATTTAGATGTGATTCAAAGGGGTATGAATCGTTCAGATGACAGGGATTTGATTCAAAAGCTAGCTGTGAATTATTCAGTTCGATTCGACTAATGTGATAGTTCAGCTAAAAATAATTCTGCCATAATTTACTATTTATTATAAACCTGAATGAGTTTTTTTCTTCTGTTGGACACAAAAGAAGATATTTTCAAGAATGTTGGCAACCAAACAGTTGCTGGTAGCCTTGGACTTCCATAGTATTTCCCCCCCCCCCATTTGGGTGAACTATCACTCTAAGTTTGTTCCATTTGATTCAGTATTTTTAAAATGCATTAATAGGATACTTTCACTAGTATATCTTTCAAACTACTTTCTGACTGTTTATTTAACCAAAAAGCAGTTACTTCAAAAATCTATTTCAGTACATCAATAATAAAATGTAATCAGTAGTCTTCAGAAATCATTCTAACATGATGATTTGGTGTTCAAGAAAAATGTCTTATTATCATCAGTGTTAAAAACAGTTGTTCTGCTTAATGTTTTTGTGGAAACCTTGATACCTTTTTTTCAGGATTCTGGTGATCAGAAAGTTCAAAAGAACAGCATTTATTTAAAATAGAAATCTTTTGGAACCGGAATGTCTTTACTGTCACTTTTGATCAATTTAATGTATCCGAGCTGAAGTCACCAATTAAACAATGATATAAATACAGTTGCTCGGAGAAAATACAGGTGACCTTTTTTAGTGCAATGAAAACGCTTTATGTAAGTTGTGGCCGTTTATTCAAGTTTCACTCGAGAACACCATGGCATTGTGAGTAAATGTCATTTACTTATGTGATAGTCATTTTACTACAGGTTTATTATGATTTAATTTAAGATTATTCAATAATTATTTGATTAATGGCCAGGGCAAGCAATTGATAATTAAATAGTCATTTAAAGTTGATACATCAAGAAAAATTAGTGTTTTGTTAAGCCTCGTGCACACCGGGACGATTATCGCGCGCGCTTATCGCCAGCGTTTTTCAAGACGTTTTTCGACGCGTCTTTGTGTTCATACCCAAGAGATTTTCGCTGACGATGAGCCGAGTGAACGTGCAAATTCACTCCCTGACATTAGATGGCGCTTAATGAAGAACAGAAATACCCCGGTACACATCGAATCCTATTTGACCTGCAATTCCTCTCCATAACAACTCCCTCTTATCGAGATTTTTGTAGTCACTGTCGCGTTTGTCATAAAGCTCTTTGTGTTCAGACACCAGTGAGACCAGTAGCTCTACATTCATCTTGCCTCGATGCATCTTCTTCGTCTACTTACTTCCTCTTTGTCGTTAGGCAGGGTTACTGCCCAATCGCTACTCAAAACTAGCCCAATCGCGTTTTGAGGGGTTCCCCTGCTAAAATTCGCATTATCGCAATATCATGTTATTGGAGTCACTTCAACTCGCGGACATGAAAAACAACCCGCGGCAACAGTGTTAAAGTAGCCCAATTCCGCTGGCTTGGCAACACTGTCATTAGGTATCAATGTGTGCTTGAGCGCCATCAAGTCGTGTTTTACTGTAACTTCAGCAGCTCCAGGAACGTGAACAAAAGTGCCAATCTCATTGGTCGGCCAGTTTTTAACGCGGCGCGTCAAACCAAAAAAACGAGCCCGAGGCATTTTTTTTTTTTTTAAATAATGCTTTTACGCCTGCCGTTTTGTGCTTCAGTGTGCACACTCACATTGGCACTCTTTGTTTAGTCACGAGGCGTTAAACCTTGGCGATTATCACGCGCGATAATCATTCCGGTGTGCACAAGCCTTTACACCAAAAATAGTTGGTGTTTGATTTTCTTTGAAACCATTTTCACTCAGTGTTTGTAAATTTCACAAATAGTTACAAAAAATAACATTGAATTAAACAAAGTTTTGAAGCTGAAAAACAAATAGTATTCTCTTGCAAAACCTATTCCAATAATCTTTGTTATTTACAACTTAGATTTGATGCTCTTCAGAATCTGTGGTTTCTAGGTTTGGAAAAGCCTTAAAGTCATAATTTTTTTTAAATGATGAATATATGTTTCTACTGTAAAATATTGTATTGCCTATAAGTTGTGAGTGCAGTCTCTAAAAATTAGAGATCGACCAATATATAGATTTACCGATATTTTTCCCGATATTTAAGCATTTTACCATAATCGGATATCGGTTTTGTAATATCGGATTCACCGATAAACGCCGCCATCTTGTGGGCGTTTTGAGAATTGCGGGCAGGATCGCCATTGCAGCGCGTCTGAGGGGAGACGAGACAACAACAACGGCGTGCAGGTACTTGATATAGTTGCTATAGTTAGTAAACTTTATTTAACATAACAGCCATTTATGCACAAATTAGATGCATTATATAAATGCCTGATATGTAGTTTATGCAGCTTGGCTGTAAGAAATAGAGACCAACTCACGGAGCTCATTTGCTATATTTCATATTTGCTCATCATTAGTCTCGTGAAGCCGCTTTTATATTGCTGTTAACTCACCGGGTTGATGCGGTTGATGCTCAGGAAATACTCCAGCACGGCCACCGCACGTAACTTTTAACAAGATTCACTTGTTTAAAACACCCTAAATTGTATTAACATTTACTATATAACCAAGTCCGACTCGAGCCCGTCTTTTTTTTTTTTCCTTTTCTCAAAACAGTTTATACTACTGTTTCAGCTATTAAAATAGTTCAGTTTTGTATGTAATGTCAAAGTGATTAGATTTCGTTTGGTTTTTTTAGTAAGTTAATTTAGAAAAACGCTTGGAGCAGTTTTTTGTTCGTTAAATGTACGTTTTTGTTTTTTTAAAGTAACGACCAAGTCGGTATCGGTTATAAAATATCAATATCGGTCGATCACTACTAAAAATCCTTATCTGACAATCCCAAACAAAAGGGAAAGTGGATCAAACAGTGAATCACATGGACCAAAAGACACTGAAACGTTCTCTTCAGAATCGAGGTTCTCAAATCCTGCAATTCGCATAAGCTTGTTTGGATCAGCATGATCATATGCGCTACTATTGTCTAGTCAGTTGGTTTGACTACCTTTTATTGTTGAGACCACTGTGGCGGTTGTTATTTTGCGAGCAACAAAGGGGCGGACACTTCCTCCTCATCTCTGAAAGACTTGTTTTGGAATGCGTGCGGCCCTTCCCCCCACTGGCAAAACTCCTGTGTCTGTGTGGCCGCATTCGCTGCCAGTCAGTCACTCAAGGGGTTAAAAACCTGCTTCAGTCTCTCGGCTGCGTCCACCGACCGGTTCAAACTGGTTTTCAGGGGAAATGCTTTATGTGTCCCATGGAATCTTGGGAAGGGTCATGTGGAGCCCCAGTGATGTCATGGCAGATGAGAGCAGGCCTGGGTGTTGAGTCAGCTGTCTTGCTATCAGATGGCTGATATCATATGTAAGACAGGTAGGTCGGCACGTCTCGTATGTGCCTTGATGTATCCAAATGATGGATCTGCTTCCTGTAAGTGGCTGTTGGGGCTTGCGTGCATGTTTTAAAGCTCACAGCCTGGCACAGTTTAAGCTTCTTGATTGTATTTCCTGTTTGTGGACTTTGCTTCTGTGGATTGTCTTTTAAGAAGTGCCTATCTGTGGCTTTAAAAATATATCTTTCCTGTACAGGTGCGTTCATCATATACCTGTAGTTCTCAACCAGTGGGTCGTGACCCAAAAAAGGAGCACAGATCTGTTCTGAAACGGTTATGTCAAATGCGAACTCGTTTAGATTTTTTATAAGGAAGGAGAATCTTTTGTCGTGTCGTTGATGTAGGCCACGTGTTCGAACAAACTCTACAGAATAGGCCTATTGGTGCAAATTCGTCTTTGGACTGATTGCATGGCATGCCCTCATCCTCAAAAACTATAAAGAGAACTACACAATGGGAAAGAAAGTACAATCCTGAATATGGGGTCGATGAGATAAACATGGTTTGTGGCACTCAAACTATAAAGAGAAGTCTTGAGTTGTTCAAAAGAAGCAATGGCAGCACATCACAACAAATCATGATTTTTTAAAAGTTATATTTTAGTAGTATTATTTTATTTTAAAATAATGTGTTTTTTTAAATAATTATTTTACTATTTATTATTTATTCTACTTATTTCACCTTTTTTAACAGATTTTTCTTTGCTTTGGTACAATAAACAAACACTTCACAACATCATTATTTTTTAGAAAATGTATTCTTTTTTTAATAGTAATAATTGTTTTATATTATTTTATAAATTCACTAAGTGTAATAATATAATAATAACTTTAAAAAAATGAATTTTTTTTTTTTTTTACACTCTGGTGCTATAAATAGTTTTGATATTGTTTCGGGATGCCAATTGATGTCTAAAGTAAAATCTGGGTCCTTGATATAATATAATGTTGTATTGGTGATGGATCAATATATCTGACCGGTTTTAGACAATTTGATATTACTGGCTTCAGATGATCCCTGTGTGAACCCCACCTAAAACAAACCTGTTTAGGATCTCTACCTTGAATAATTTCCAAAGTCTATCAATTAAGGCAACTATATATGAGAAATATCATTCGAATAGCAGTGTGATATGGCTGTATATCAGCACGGGCTGTGATTCGGCCGTAGACACGAGGCATACATTCTCACCAAAACAAAACTCTTAAAATTACATTCTGTGACACAAAAACAGTATTATTTATAAAATTATAGTGGATTTGGGCGTTTGCCATGACACTCGCTGTGAGAAATAGGCTACTGCAAGCGGAGTGATACAAACAGTGAAACAGTTGGAGTTCTGTTATCACTAGAATATCGCACCGCTGGAAAAAGCTCTCAGCCAATCAGATTCGAGAACCAGAAAGAACTATTATATATATGGCTCTCTGCCTGAATATGCCTGACTCAGTGATATTGTTTTACAGGTGAGAAGATGTCAGAAGACGCAGTGCGTCAGACACGTAGTCAAAAGCGGGCGCTGGAGCGAGATGCCCCTGCTTCGGAGGCCGACTTGAAGAGGGTCAAGCTGGAGAGAGGAATGCTGGGAGCTGTAGATGGACTGAAGACCAGAAGCGAACAGGCCAACAAGGTGGCTAACATCCTGCGGGCCGGGGAGGTGAAGGCCACCATCAAGGTGGAGGTGCAGACCAGCGACGAGCCTGTGGACATGAGCACATCTAAGAGGTAGGTCACAGGCTAAACATAAATGCATATTTTTTTATTCCCAAGCCTCCTTCTAAATGAAATAACTCAATTGTTGATCTTTGGTAGTAGTGACCTGTGAACTGGAGAATTAGCGCGATCTTAGTCCTGCCGGTTCGTTTTTATGTTTGTGTTGAGGGCACTTAACCTCACCTTGCTCCGCTGAGACTTTGTGCTAGTAGCTCTGAATATAAAGCATCTGCTAAATGCAAAGTCAACAAGGTATCAAGTAGATGCAAAGGAGAAGTGCTTGAGCTCACTGTGGTGGTGCTTTTGCTTTGCTGGTTTTAAAAACTTGAGGCTTCGGTTAATTACCATGTGTACGATTCGAGTTTAGCTTAAATTCAATGGTGGTTTTGATTAACAACACTGAAAAATAAAACAATTAGAATGTATTAAATCAGAAACCATGCAGGAACCAAAGCATGTACACTAACTTTCAGATTAAGTTTAGTGCTGCACAGATAAAGGATGAAGTGTATGAGAGATGATGTTTGCATCCACAAAAATCTACATTTACAGTAGCGCTCAATTAAATAACATTAATTCATTAAGTACCATGAACTAAAAACTTTGGCACCATCTATTAATCTAGATTAATCATAAACATACAGACCCATTCAAAAGTTTTTAGTTTTTTTTTTTTGTTTGTTTGTGAAAACTCTACAGTCACCAAGGCTGCATATAATTTGATCAAAAATGCAGTAAGAACAGTGCTATTGTGAGAAATTATTGCAATTTTAAATAACGGTTTTCTGTTTAGATATATTTTAAAATATTCTTTATTTTTGTAATGGTGAAGCTGAATTTTCAGCATCATTACTCCAGTCTTTAGTGTCACACGATCCTTCAGAAATCATTCAAATATGCTGATTTGCATATCAGTGTAATGCATGCATAATAGATAGCATATTTGTAATCTAAATATATATAATTATTATATATTAATTATTGTTTTAGTGTTCGTTCATAATGCATGAAATGATGTTATTTTATGCAACTTTAATTTATTAGTATACGTCGTAATTAACTTTAATGTTAAATTAAGCTGTACTGTAAAGTGTTATTATTTGTCATAATTACACATGGACATTTTTTATTTTCTCTCCGTTCTCCACTATTGCCTCAATAGTAGTAGAAAAAACACAAAACTATATGTTTTGCATCTTTAAAATAAAACTTCCCATGGCATTTGTAGTTTGGTTGCTTAGGCCTGAGCTGTTCTTAGTGGTTTATTGTCAGGTTGCTGTGCAGTTGCTGGGGTGTTCTGGGTGGTTGCTAGTCAAGTGATTCTTTTAAATCGATGATTCTTTCAAATTGATCTTGAAATACAAAAAAATTTTTCAAATGGTGGTTATTTACCTTGACACTTAGTCTCAGAATGTTTGATTGGATGTTAAACTTATTGCATGATAAACTGAAGGCAGTTACTGTTTGTTTGTGAATACATGTAAATAATGTAAAAGACAAACAGAAGTCGTGATGAACCAGAGTGGAGCTCATGATAAAGAACAAAGGAGGTGGCCTGATGCCATGCGGGATGGGGGAGGGGTAGAAAGTTGAGTTGAAAGATGTCACACTCTACAAACACGACTGTCGTATGCTCAACTTTTCCCAAAGACCACACTCAAATATGTGCTTGCTCAGCATGCCAGTTTCCCCTCGAGTGGCACACTGCCCTGCTAGAAGAAAAGAAGAAAGAAGTCCAAAGTGTTTTCTGTTGCACCTGAACCCTGCCTGACTTTGCAAAACGAGGCCTATGTCACAAACTGGTTTGAGCCGGCCGTTGCCATGGTTTCCACACTGGCAGGAACAGTTCAAGAAAAGGGAGGGTGTGAGTCATGTGACCAGAGGGAAATTCTTGCATCATGTGATCTTGTTGGTGCTGGCTAATACACAGGAAGTGATACAAAGTCAATTCTAGTGAAGTTCTGGTTGTGAACGTCATGAGAACCTGCGTTTAGCAGTTTGTGATTCCTGTAAACTTAGGCATGTTGTGTTTTTCAACTGATGCATTTAATTGTTCGGTTTGCTTTTAAGGAAACTCAATTGCTGTCCAGGGATACTTGTTGTTTCTTCCAGCCCATTTACTTGAAAGGGCCATGCTTTCAGAACATTTACCTGACCCTTCTTCCTCATCTTCTGCTGCTTGAAGAAAAGAATACCATACTTTTTGCCATGCTTTTTAGTAGGGCTGGGTAAAAATATCGATATCTCGATATTAATCAATTCTCATTTTTATGGAACAATATCGATTCTTAAATCCCAAGAATCGATTAGTGTAGCCTGTTTTCAGTTAATGGACGGAACGTTGAAGGGCACTTCCCATGCAATATATCGCAATAAGCATTGTGCTTTGGTACTTTTAATATGAAACAAAGTCTCAGATTTTAAATTATGTACGTTGTATTGCAGTATTCAAACAATAAATGCCGTTTTGGCGCTGTTTAATGTGGAGTGACAGATCGCTGTAGCGCCTCAGTTCAACAGACGCGGCAGCGCGAGGCGCACGTGAACTAATCATCTCCTCCACATTAATACCAGCTTCAGCACAAAATAAACATGACTAAACATCCGAAGGTAAGTTAAAAGAAAGAGTACAACTTTACAATCCATATCCTGTCTCATGTAATCGCTCAATCAGTGTTTCAGCCGCGCAAAGACGTCAATAATGGCTAGTAAACATGTAAATGTCATGTAACGTCACATTTACCTTAGAAAAACATTCGGTGACCATAAACTCATTAATCAGACAGAAAAATACTGTAGAGAGGGGCATTTTGCTATATATATGCACCATATAACATATTCATTATAAATTTTACTGTTCTTCAAAGTTTAATTTATGTTTGAATAAATCCATCAAGTTTTTATGACAGCAACCATTTAAATGTTTATATTAGAAAAAAAGTAGAAATATTATTATGTAATTGTAACTTTATTATTTTAAAAACTTCGTTGTGTAATTTTAACAAATCAGTCAATTTTAACTTTCAATATTATAGTAATGTAGTACCAACTGACTCATGTATATTTTAGTTGAGAGATTTTTTTTCCTTGAGAAAATTTGGCATGTACTGTACCTGATATAGATCCAAAATAATCGATATTGAATCGAATCGGTATCGAATCGAATCGCAAGCTTGTGAATGAGAATCGAATCGAGTCGTGACTAGACTTGTGCCGGTATTCGGTAATGCGATATATCACGGTAATGAATATGCACGATATTGTTATCGTGGGCACTTCTAAATACCGTGAATAATTATATATTACAAATTATTCCAAATTTTGAATGCATTTTAAGAATACTTTTCCCATAAACTGGTCAAAATGCACAACACCACTGTATGCTGCGTGAAAGACGCGTGCGCACTCTGATGTAAACAAGTGCGGACGAGAAGCACATGGCGGAACATGTGAGAGACGCTCTGGATGAAAGCGCACTTTCACTCTCTGACAGCAGATGGCGCTAAACTGCAGAAATGATAATAATAATAATATAATAATTCATTTAAATGCAGCCGTTACCCCGGAAACCCTGTAAACAAAGCAGCTGCACTACTTTCTGTTTCTGAATCGTGTTTAAATGATTTAAGCAGTCATTCAGATTTGTGTATTTGCTATGATGTTCATCACAGCGCCAAATACTTAAATATTTAGACTTAATAGGCTATTTATTTTCAAACTTTTTTTTACATTTTAATCTGGACTACAACATGCCCTAGATATTGTTTGAAAGTGTTTTGATTCTTTATTGTTCGGTCACACTTTACATTAGGGCTTCATTAGTTAACATTAGTTAATTCATTAATTAACATAAACTGCCAATGAAAATTCTTCTGAACATTCATTAATCTTAGGTATTCCAATATTTAATAACAGGATGTTAAAATTGAGAGTTGCAGCTGTGTTGTTTAATGAGCTAACATGAACTAAGACTTGTGTTTTTTTAAACAAAGATTAATAACTTCTGTCGCAAATGTAGCTATTGCTCATTGTGAATGTTAATGCATTATCTAAGGTTAACTAATGAGGTCTTATTGTAAAGTGATACCTATTGGTCTTTATAGTTCTTTTGCACTTTAATCTGTGTAAAACTTTTAACTTTATACATTTTTCTGTATTGCTTTATTGCATTTAAATGTTCAGTTATTTTTGTTATAAGAAAAATGTTATTAAACCTGTTATACTGTATTATGACAGCACTTTTTAAAACTAAATTTAAATACCGTGATAATACCGCATACCGTGATAAAAGCATTAGCAATTAATCGCAACATGAAAATTTGATACCGGCATATCTCTAGTCGTGACATTTGTGTCAAAACCCAGCCCTACTTTTTAGGCAATGAATGATACTTCCAAATGTGCAGTTTTTTGTGTACTATTACTTCTTGAGGCAATCACAATTATAAACATTTGGTACAAAGGATCTTCAGCCAAATCTAGGGACCAGAATGACTTGAAGACTTGGGAATAAACTCTTTAGACTCAAAAAACCCTAGCAATGCCCTAACAACCTAGAACAACCACTTTGCAATGCATGAACAACTGTTTTGAGCACCCTAGTATCATGTCAGCAAGCAAACACGGGACATTGCAGTTTTTGTGTGATATTACTTCTTGCGACAATCTGAATTATTATTTTAGCTTAGAAGTAGGGCGGGCGATATGACCAAAATCTTATATCACGATAAAAGTCATTTTATTTCACGGTAACAATATCACAATATAGTTATTTTTGCTTTAACAGGGCTCTAGACTCATTCTTCCCACTGGTTGCTCTTTTGCCACTAACTCTCTCAGTTGGTCACACGAGCACATCATTTGGGCACAGTTTTTATTTATTTTATTTTTGCTGCAACATGGGATTAATCAATGCATGCTGATGAACATTTATCATAGTTTATAGATATATGGTAATGAAAGTGGTTAACATTCAACACGTTCTTTTTCATCTGTAGTATAATTTGTGATTT